ATAGCTCAATTGCCACTAAAGATCATCTTTTATGTAGTGAGAGTTAATATTTTGCAGAAGTGAAGATCATGTTGCAGATTTATTAACTAAGCTTCTTAAGTTGGGTCCATTTGTGAAGTTGTACATATTACTCGGTGTCTACTCAGAGAATGATTATAAACTGATATTATGATTAACATATGATTTAAGGGAGGTTGTTGAGTGCTTTATTTTAGCATAATAAAAGAAATAAATGATGATGATCTAGATGAACAACATTCGGAAACAAGCAAAACATATACAGAACTTTTAACAAACATAGATAATACAAAGAATTTAGAAGTAAATACAGGAGGCATAGACATGGATGAAAAACCTAGTACATCAGGAATAAAAAACCCAAAAAATTTAAAATATTATAATACAAACTATGAACAATATGATAAAGAAAAAACTATATGTGATACAAACTATAAACAATATGATAAAGAAAAAACTATATGGGATAAAAGATTGAATAAAAAATGGACACTCAAACCAATAACTGAACAACATAATATTTTAGATTTAGACTGTATAGCAGATATAAATAAAACAATTCAATTATGGATGAGATATATATCAAAACAATTAATAGATAACAAAATAGGAATGACAGAAACACCAAGATATATAGAAAGAACACTTATAGGAACAGTAAAATTATGGCGACAAAATTTATCAGATGAAAATTTAAAAAACCCTGAGAAGTAATAAAAAATCTAATGGTGAATTAGCTACTACAACTATGGAAATATTATATAAGTACGAAGTAGCTATAAGAAATGAATTTAGTAGTATGACAACAGAAGTAGAAGAACAAAATAGAGAAAAAATCATAAATCAGAATCTAATGACAAAATTAGCAATATGTAATATGTGTTATATAGATGAATATACATGTGCATTTAGAGAAATAAGAAGAAAATTAAACAAATTATATCCAGAATATAAACAACTCAATATCACAAAAACTGATAACGTCAAATCAGATCAATTGATAGATAATGTATCTAAAATAGAATATAAATATATCCAATATTTAAAAATACAATGAATAACGAGAATAATGAATATAGACAAAAACTTACTGAAATAATTATAGCAAAAAGACGAGAATTGAGACATAGGCAAAATAGACTTAACAATAATATATTTGCAGGAACTTTTAAAAAATCTATAGTAGCACAAAGAAAAACTATTTTATATCTACAAATACAAATAGAAAACTTAGAATATAAACTACAACACAATTTATAAATGAATAAAGAAGAATACACAATAGATGAAAAAAACATATGAAAACTATGACGGATTAAAAATAAAAAAAATATTTTCTAATCTAGGAAGAAGATATAAGAAAATAGGTGACAATCTAAGTTTAATGTTAGAAAAAGAAACGGTAAAACTAGAAGATAGTTTAACTGCTATGATAAGAATAACAAAAGAAAATGAAGAAATAGATAGAAAAACAGAAATTGAAAAAATAAAACAACAGGCAAAAAAGGAAGTACAACAATTAGAAGAAGTAAAAAATACTAAAATAATAGAACTAGAAAAAGAGCTGGCAATGTTAAAAGAAATGTATGAAATGGAACAAAAAGAAAAAGAACAAAAAACAAAATTAGCAAATGAGATTATTAAATTTAAAGAAAAATTGCAATTAGAAGATGAATTAGAAGAAAAAGAAGAAAATAACCAAGATAACTACCTGAAATAAGATTAAAATGAACTACGAATATTTATAATATTGGACAGAAGCTATGAAAGACATAAAACTATTGGAACAATTAATGGAAAATAATTTATATACGTACCGAAGAACTCAAGATATGTTATATCTAGAATATATCATAAATAATATTAAAGAGATATCAAGATTAAGACACTTAGCAACCGAATATTATAATAAAATCTTTAAAATGGATTCCTCACCTACCAAAAATGGTACACCTACCAAAAATGTCATGAATTGCTCACCTACCACACCTACCACACTACCAAAAATATCGACAAAAATAAAAAGACACATGAAGTAAAATGTGCAAAGAAAGTCGTAGATAAAGAGATAAGGCAAATAAGACATAGGGCCAAAAGCAAATAGTATAAAGTAAATAGTACCATGTAAAAAAGTCATAAAGTAAATTGTACTATGTAAAAAAGTCATGAAGTAGGTACATTATTGTGCATTATTGTACATTATTGTAGGGTAAGTAGTATAGTAATGCATTATTGTGCATTATTGTAGTACAGTACGTGCATTATTGTGCATTACTGTAAAATAACCATAGGATAGAAATTCTTTTCTATATAAAGAAATGTACATGTAACATAATAATCAAGCTTTCCAAAAAACACTCTCTCAAATATTTAAATATTTACTATTTCATACCATTGTTGGTTTAATATATCTTCTGATTCGTTATCATTAAATATGTTTTCCCATATGATTCTTCTTAATTCAATTATCTTTATACCTTTAAGTATATATATGATTAAAATTTCGTAGTTTTTTATTATTTCATCATGCCTGTATGTAGTCATGTTCTTTATCATGCAGGTTTTTATTTTCAATTATTTCTTCCTATCATATTCATAATTGATTAAATTCATATTAGTTCATTATGAACTAGATTATTTGTTTATTATGTTCTCCTGTCACTACTAGCATCGTACTTTAGCGGATACTTCCTTCTTATCAGTGCCTCAACTTTGTTTACTCCCCTAAACGGCTTTCCTTGCCTACCGGTTTCAACATTAGAATGACATAGTATAGAAGTTTTCTCCCTGTTTCCAGTTGCTAATAAACTAGAAATCATGATTCAAATAATTCTAATACATAATAACTAACATAAATTTATTCAATCATATATATGATATTTAGGAATATATGAAATTAGTTCTACATATTTTTTGAACAATATACCTTTGCCTCTTGCTTATCCTGAAAGTTGTTCCATTATCTATTAAGTATTTAAATATTTGAGAGGGTGTTTTTTGGAATGCTTGCTTCGTTTTATTGAAGGCTTGCTTATTATGTTACATGTACATTCCTTTATATAGAAAGGAATTTCTATCTTATGGCTATTTTACAGTAATGCACAATAATGCATGTACTATACTACTTACCCTACAGTAATGCACAATAATGCACCTACTTCATGACTTTTTTACATAGTACTATTTACTTTATGACTTTTTTACATGGTACTATTTACTTTATACTATTTGCTTTTGGCCATATGTCTTATTTGCCTTATCTCTTTATCTACGGCTTTCTTTGCACATTTTACTTCATGTGTCTTTTTATTTTTGTCTTCTTCTTCTTCTTCTCTTCTTCCGTCTCTATTTTATTTGATCATTCCAGCTGGACATCGAAAATCACATTATCTTCTCCATTACATTTTGAACATATATGGTCAGGATATTTATGTCCAATTAGTTTTTTTTGGTGGACCTATTCTTTAAGAAGATTTTATTGTTACTGATTTTAGGAGTTCATTAGTTGTGGGTCAGTTGTTGCTTATTTTTAGAAATCAGTTCTATATGTAATCTCTATTTATTTGGAAAAACTTTTATCAATAATATTCAACTAACTTTCTAATATTGTTGTTTACTCAACTTCAACAGAGCCACGACCCTCTCAACTTTCCCAAATCCCCCCACCCTGGTTCTTCTCCTTTACGGGGTCAATAATTACTTATTAAAAATGCACTATAAAAAATATGAAAAGTTAGGTACTGAATTTATCAGTAATTTCTATTTAATTGGTCGCTAAAAAGGTCTTAGCTAATTAAATTTTCTGATCCATCGTTAATACATAGTTAAATGGAATTAGCATGGGATTTATGTTGTTTAGCTGCAAAAAAAATTATGTCGCTAATTTCTTGTAATTCTCTAGCAGTGATGGTACTCCCTTCGTCCTAGTTTAAGTGACTTACTTTCTTTTTGGTTTGTTCCAAAAAAGAGTATATTTTTCATACATAGTAAGTTTTCCAATTTCAACATCCTACACAACAAGTTTAAGATTATGGGATTTAAAAGACTATACACATCTTTAATTTAAGATCATAAGATTCAAAATTTTCATTTTATTTCTTAAACTTTGTGTTCGGTCAACCTCAAAAACTAGCTCATAAAGAAAATATATGATCCAAATCATATTAAAGAGATCACTTATCCCTTAAATCATCAAATGTGTTACTCTTCAAACAGCTGCCTAGAGAAGGACGTATATTTGGTGCACACACTATTTAAATATGGGCCAATATCGGAAAATAAAAATTGGGATCCTGCTCTAGTATTATATTAAAAAATGAATATTAAGCTTAACACAAGCCTAAAAATTAACTTGAAAAATCAAAATTATTCAAACCATTTTAAAGAAACCCCAATCATCTTTTTGAGACTCTAATATTTAACACTCGTCTAATAATTTTGGCAACAGCCAAAAGTCAATTGATTCGAAAGATTAGTTGGATATCATGTACTTATATGCTTAGAATAAGATAATACATATATACCAATCAACGTTACGTGAATGCATATCATACGCCCTCTATTATATGACCCTTTTTTTCTATTTAGTCAGTTTTCAACAAATAATTTTTTAAATTAAAAACTTTTTACTTCAAATTTTCTATTTTACTCCAAATAACATTCTTTTAAAAACTGAAATTGGTAAAAACCTTACTTGCACTCGATTTTTTTCACCAAATTTAATAAATACATGACATCTTGAAATACACTTATATCACTAAATCATAATTAATTAATATACATTCTCATCTTAATTTATAGATTAATCCGAGTAAATTAGTATAATTTGGTGTAAATAAATTGAGTAGGAATTAAATTTTACCATATCCTAAGGGTATAAAAGCAAATCTTTTCTGAATTATTAAATTTTATATTCAGTCAAACATCTGTATATAAAAAACAATAATATACAGAGAACGGAGGGGGGGGGGGAGTTGACATACCAGCCTCTGAGGAATGATAAACAACCACTATGGTGGTGGTGGTGGTGGTCATCATGATGGTGGTGGTGATCATCATGGTGGTGGTGGTAAATATGTTGAGGAGGTGGTGGTGGTGGTGGACAACATTGATCATTATTGAAATAACCTTGATAATTAGGGGGTCCTGGTGGCGGAGGATAGTACCCGCCGCCTGGTGGTGGTGGTGGTGCACCATACCCTATAACAATCAATCATCAATATTAAAAGAAGTCTTCATCAACATTAATTTAGCTGGGAAAGAAAAAATCGTAGTAGTAATTGATCATTTAAGTGTTACATGAAGAATATTTAATATACAAAGAAATGAAAGGAATTAATTTAGGGAAATTACCTGGTGGAGGATATGAAGTCATTGTTAGAGAAATACAGATGCAGATCCAGCAAAAAAAGTTAACAATATGTACAGCTGATGATAAGGTGGGGAAAGAAATATAAAGAGTCAACTGTTTAAGAGGGGCAGGAAAGTCTTATTGGGCACACATGAGTACATTAAACTATTCATTAACATATCCCATCTACTCACCATGATGGCATTGGTAATACTAGTACTCCCTCCGCTCCGTATTTTGAGATTTAAACTAATTTATCTTTAATTATATATTTTATTATGATTTATAATACTTTTTATATAGTTTACAAATTCATTTTAAAAGAATTAAAGATTTCATGCGTAAGTTTCAGATCAAATTTAATTGTTTGACTCTCAAAAAATGAAATGTGTCACATAAATTGAGACAAATGAAGTATTAGTTATGTTTGCATTAGTTGATCTGAAATTACTTTTTATATAGTGTTTGATTTGATGTATTAAAACTAATATGGATAACATAATCTTTAATTTTATTTTATTTTTATATAAATACCATCCACAAAAACGTTGGAAAGAATATGAAAATAGTTTTGAGGGACAACTCCGTCTTAAAGTATACTCATGAGGTATTTAAAACCTCTTGCAATGCTTATATCATGAATTTCCATTTATTAATTATACCTAACATGATATTAAATAGAATATATAATTATTTAATAATATATAAAGTTAGTACATACATTAATATTTTTTAATTACATCCTACCAAACAACTCTTTAATTGCATGTGTTCACATGATTCTTACTTTGAAATGAAATAATGATTATGCATCCAACTTACTTTGAAATGAAATAATGCTTATGCCTCCGACAAAAGCCCAAAAGGACAGAGGTGGAGCCACCCCTATGGGTAGTGGGGTGCACATGCACTTATTAATTTTAAAAAAAATTATATATATGTATATATTAAGAAATTAATAGAAATTAGGATATAATTAATAATACATCAATAAAAAATATAGAAGTATTATTGTGTTATTAGTACAAGTTAGAATATCCACTCGTGAAATCTGAATTTAAATTCAACTAGAGTGTTTATTTCACTATTCTTATCTAAATTAATACTCCCTCCGTCCACTATTGTTTGTCAGGGTAAAATCATGCACAACCTTTAAAAAAAATTAATATAAGGTGCAATTTGACTAATATAACCCTACTATCAATCATTATTAATATGGTTTGTACTTTATTGAAAACTGAAAAACAACTTTTTTTACATTAAAATAGTCTTGTAACTTTAAAATGATTACTTTTTGTTACTAGTAGTTATGTTATTATTAAAGGCAGAATTGGAAAAAGTGACTACTTGTTTCTTGATTGTTTAAATTAACAATTAATTTTAGACATCTATTTTTAGTATACCTGACAAACAATAGTGAACGGAGGGAGTTTTAATGCACCCAAAAATTTTAAATTCGCAAAAATATAGAATAGACATGGATCACATGAGTTGCAGAAAAGTTGACCTGTCAAAATACAACCAATTAATGTTGTCGCTAAAGGCGGAGAAAACTAAGGGCATCTCCAATCCAAACACCAAATTTTATAGCACTATTTTTTGTGTAATCAACTCTAACTCACTGCACCAAATTTTACACAAAAAAGGAATAATTTTCTCTCTCTTCATTATTATATTATTATTTCTTATTTCATTTATATTTTCTTATTTCATAAAATAAATTCTTTCTAAAACATATATAATTCATATTATTTCCTTTTATAATCGTTTAATATAAAATTATTTTGTACCATAATTTTTTAAACAATATAAATTGCTAGCAAATATTATACATTATACATAATAATGGATAATACAAATAAAAGTGAAATCATTAATGAAATACAATTAAATAAAGTATTGATGTATACTTTATTATACCCCATACAATTCATATTTTAATAGTATTGATGGATCCGGAAAGAATCTGTCAGATTATTAAGTTATTGTTGTAATTTTTTTAAATTATTATGTTTTGTTGTACTTTTTAAAATTACTATGTATTTTATATTTCAATTTTGATGTATGCCAATTACTACTTTGTTGAAAGTTTATTATTTTCGGTTATTTTTAAGTACATTGTATTATTTGTTTAAAAATCTATATGTTTGCATTTTTAATTTTTGTGATGGTTAATTGTAGTTATATCCAATTATAATTTATCGTAGAATTAACATAATTTATTTTTAAAAAAAGTCATATATAGAAAAATGAATTTATAAAAAAACTAAATTTTATATCTAAAATTAATATTATAAGAATATTACATAAAAAATATTAAATATATAAGAGATTTAATTAAAACATACAATTTATATACCGTTTAATTAAAAGTTTGTATAATAAAATAATATTAAAATATTAAAAAAGTGAATTGATGTGATGAATAGTGTTACATCAAATTTGGTGTAACACTATTCACACACCAAATTTGATGTAAAAATTAGTGTGAATTGGAGCTCAAAACACAAATTTTATACCAAATTTAGAATTTGATGTAAAATTTGATGTTGGGTTGGAGATGGTCAAAATAAGCCAACCAACAAAGGAGGGATTAAAAGTCTCTGCCACGTTAAACTTGGGCAGTCAATGATTTTCAAAAAATTCACACCAAACTGTTTATAATTTTAGTTAGGATTAATTACTTGAGTGAATTTTTTTTAAAAATAATTACATATTTTAAATATATTTTAAGTAATTTTGTATCAATAATGAATTAAATAAGTAATCTAATTGTAATAAAATAAATCAAAAAAATGTAAAATGAATTAAATTTGTATTAAAATTGTAATACACAATATTAAAGTTGACTTAGAAGAGAGAATGAAGAATGAATGAATAACATAGCTAATGAAATACAAGACAGTGATCTATAAACTGAATTAAATGTATATCATTGTTCGTGAATAAAATATGTATTATTTGTCTCTTATAAATTATTTTGATTTATATCATTAAGAAAGAAGTAATGTTTGTAATATGTATTAAAAATGTGTTGTGCGTGTATTGCAAATATATTATAAGTGAATTACCTAAATTGTTCTGATTGATATCACCAAGAAGGGGATATATTTAGAATATGTCTTATAAATGTATTGTTCATGACTTTTATTCAATTTTAATATTGTTGCAAGACAATTTTGAAATCTTCATCTTCTTCAAGCTTTAATTTGAAATTTCTCCTAAAATCAATGTTAAAACTTAATCAATCTCCCTTAAAATTAAGATAAAAACTCCAAAATGTTATTTTCAATAATATGGAAGAACAACTTATACAAACTCATCACAATTTTGTAAAATCCAAATAATGAATTCAAAGCTTGAAGCTTTTGATGGCCATCAATGATGAATTCTTGCTGCTGCAATTTTAGAGATTTGAAATCTCTGTTTGTGCACACGATTTTGTACAAATTGTGGGTATTTGTATTCTTTTTCTCGTGATATTTTAGTGTAAATCGTGCAACATGGGTGTAAATTGATTTGAAGATATGAATATTTAAAGATAGTTATTTGGATTAAAAATTTGAAGAAGAAGAAGAAAAGGAGAAATCATATCTAGAGAAAGAGACGGACAAATAGAAAAGATAATGGGTCCTTCAGAGTGTTGTACAATTTTAATCTAAAAAAACTGTTAGATTTAGTTTTTTTAAAAAATATTGTCCTAAATGGTAAATATTTTCTCAATATATAAAAATGAGAAATTGAATAAAAATATCCTTAAATATTACTACCTCTATTCACTTTTAATTGTCATGGTTCCTTTTTTAGAGTCAAACTATAAGAACTTTAACTATCATTTTATGATGTATTTTTTCATCATATTGATTTATGCAAAAAATTGCAATTTATAGTACTTTTCGTATAGTTTTTGAATAGCTAAATTTTTTGTTAAAAATATCACTTTAATTTAATCTAATTTAACTTTGAAAATTAGTCAAATTGACTTTCGAAAAACGCAACATGACAATTAAAAATGGACGAAAGGAGTAATTTAGTCTAAAAATTCTCCTCCCGGTCAATAATTTGATTAAAAATATATCTTTATTATTATTTAATAGATCAAAAATATCCCTTTTCAGAAAATATAATATTTTTTTTCTTTTTAAAAATTATTTTTTGATAATAATTTTATTTATTAACAAATGTTTATCTTACCTCTCTTTAAGCAAAAGCTTTAAATTTTCAACTCTTAAGTCAATCGAACACGTTGTACTTAGGCCACCAAGACCCGATTCTTATGATCCAATGCACAGCTTGATTCTTCTCTTGCTTTTATATTCACTATATTTTATTATTATTGTGAATTCAATTCATTATATAAAATCAATCTACCTCACGTTTCCCTTAAATCACTTTGATAAATTCAATTATATCGTTTTGTGGTAAATAAAAAATAATTCCTAAAAAAGGTGAATAATTCTCATGGTCAAACGGTTAGTAATTAGTAATATACACAATTAATGTAATTCATTTTTACACTATCACGTTATTTTTATTTTTTCTAGCAAACATTAATATATTTTATTTTTTAGATATCAAATTCCAAGTTTTAAAAGACTTATCTATATATATTATTTAGGTATAAAAAATAATTTACTTGTGATAAAACTTAAAATTCGATAGAAATTCACTAGAGTTACTATTTGGTGAATTTATTTTTGATATTAATCTTGATTGCTAAAATTGTCATTATCAGAAAAAATCAACAAAGTAACTCTATAACGTTGGAACAATCTTTCAAACCACACACATCTAAATATAAAAACCAACATTATATTATACTAAATGTAATTTTATTGAATGAATTATTACTTCAATTATAACTTGAATTTTGTGCAGTTAAAGTAGTTATAGAAAATATTGAACTTTTAGAGCCAAAAAAGTAAATCAACAATGAAAAAACTTTAGAACTATTTTTGAACCTCATTGGTAATATAAATTCTGAAATTAAAGTTTTAATTACAATTCACGTACTCGTAAGTTGCAAACCGTGGTTAAAACAGTGTTTCTACTACGTAGAATATTGCTCC